TGCTATCATATACCATTGTCTTCAGGGATGGAAGCTGAAGCTCGACGAGAAGCCAATGATGACGTTCCAAAACAGGGATAAACACCTACAATCATAAATAATAATTCAATTGCGCACATCAAATTTTTATTTATGAACACCTTTAAAATATTCAAAAATAAATACTAACCTTATCGACCTCCCACCACGCAGGATAAAGTTTAGTTTTTCCATTACCCAACACATATGAAGTGTCTCTCTGGTCCTTCAAGTGAGCTACGTGAAAAGATGTCGACATAATAGTCCATCGCGTATTTTTTATTTTCTTCAATTTCCTTATTATCAGAAGACGTGACACTCATGCATCAATATGCTGTTTTATAAAAAAAATACATATATTAGTGAATTTCATAAATTTAAAAAAATAATCAAAATGCAATATAAGAAGAATATAAGACTTACCCCCCATTCGAAATAGCCATTGTCTTCAACCCTTAATAACACACCCCACCAAGACCGTTCAAGAAACAAATGCATATCATCGTCGAGTTTGCATATGTCAGCGTAACACCCCTGGCTCCGCTCATGTAGGTAAAAATCAATTGTGGTCTTAGCCCAAAGGGTATTATCCAGAATTGTGTCCGGTAGTGTTCTCCTCTCCACTTCAGATACCGAAATGGTACTGACCGGTAACTCGTAAGAAAGTCAACTCTCATCCATCATGTCGGGCACGTGAGGGGGTTTATTAATATGTCGACATATTATGCCATGTGAATCGGACTCTTGAACGGTTGGAGTGACCTCTTGAACGATGACAGGGGCCTCTTGAACGGTGGGAGGGGCCTCTTGAAGGATGATAGGGGCCTCTTGAACGATAGGAGAGGCCTCTTGAACGATGACAGGTGAATCATGCTTCTTCTTACGGAGTCTTGGCACTATTGGGGTGAACGGAGACGTAATGGCACGTACACGACGTCTGATACGTAATGGCACGTGCACGACGTCTGATGCGTGAACCCCGTCGTGCAAGAAAAACCCGACATAAAGCATCTACCTTATCGGGCCGCTAAAAATAAATTAATACATAAATCAGTAAATAAACAAATAAATAATGCTGAAAAAAGGTTATTTGCATTTTTAGTATAGTATTAAACAAACTTACCTCATTGTGTAGAGTATGAACCTCATTCTGCAACGATACAACAATCTCACGTAGAGCGGCTACCTCATCACGTAAAGTAGATACCTCACCACGTAAAGCACCATTGTCATCGCGTAAAACATCTACCTCACCACGTAAAGACCGTACCTCATCACGCCATGCACCATTGTCGTCACGTAAAGTACCGACCTCCTCACGCAAAGCATTAACCTCATCACGTAACTCCCCTAACTCATCCCGTGGAGGTGGAGAACAAAGAGATAAATATCGTGGCATCTTTTTCGGTCGCCTATCATGAGGTGATAGTGGAGAAGAGGCTCGATGATGTGATGGCTCTCGTTGTGGAGGTGATGGCTCTGAGTGTCGAGCTATAGAATCGGCTCGATCAGGTGATGGCTCTCGAAGTGGGGGGTGCTCATCATCTGTGCCATCAAAAAAACGCTTACTAGCTTGCCACCAATCAGTGGCAAGCTCAGCCTCTATGGGTGTCAGCCTCTGTAATGGATAGTTGGCCTCCTAACAATATAAAAGCTCAAACAAAGTTAAACGTCTACTAGTAATAACTTGTTTATATATGGTAGTATTTGTGTTAACTTACATTATTCATCGTCGTATATGGTAGTAACTCTTCCCAATCCAACAGCCGGATCCTTCTCCAGGAAATAGCCCTAGGAATATCATTTGAATTTTTGATTGCATATGTCCGTATACTGGGAAAAGCCTCAGATATCCAAATCTACAAACAATACAATACACAAACATTAGTAATTGTTAAATAATTAATTATAATTTTGGAAACATTATATAGAAATTCTTACCTTAAAGGCTCAAATAAAGCATGCTAAAGTGTATTTGGAACCATGGCCACGCAAACTTTTTCGGTCCTCAAAGGCAGACGATAACTTTTTCCAGGTAGCTTTCCATAGATATGAACCCCACGGAAACAGGTTCTATGCATTTAGGTCCTCTACCAATAATATTAAGTCCTCAGAAATAGGTTGTATGGCCTCTTTGCCTAAAAAATCGGCATGCAAAAGTAATAAAAGGCATACTCGGACAACATCGAGGTCATACATCTGAGTAAAACCATCTTTAACAAATAATCTTTTCAAGTCGTCGACGTGTAAACTCGGCTTCGCCTTTGCCAGCTCAGGAAAAACCCGAGATAACCATGATGGGCGGGCGATATGACTAGTGTACCGACCTATATCATCGTGTTCGAAGCGTAGACCAGTGATTAAGCAAAACTCCTCCCACCCAAAACAAGTATACGCCGGAGGAAAATGAAACCATATCTCCTCATCACCACGTTGTATCATCTCGGGTAGATCGTTAGTCATGGTCTGAAGAAACAAATGGGTCAACATAGCATCTCCACCCGGATGTTGTACTTTCAGCCATGGCCCGAAGCAAGTATCCTCAAATAATTTTCTTTGTACATGTGTAAGCGTCGACACAATTGTAGTGGCTAGGCTTAATTTATTCCTTAAGATCAATGAAGCAGAAAAAAAATTCTACAAAAAAATTAAACATACCAAGTTAGATATACCAAAAACTACAAATTATACACTATAAAAAGACATGATATTAAACAGTGAAAACAAAGTCAAATATGTTTCAAACTTGCACGGTATTCACCCAAGTCATTATTCTATCATAGTTCACAAAATGTATCAGATAACATTCCAGAAGTAAGCACTTATATAAACATTTAAAAGGACAACATATAGGTTTAGTGCAGGTTCAAGAACAACATAAAGAGTAGTAGTTTATTCTTGAAACTTAAATTCGCAACACTGTGAAGTTAGTATTTGTCTTTGTTTTTTGGTTAAAGTAATGCAATTCATTCAAGTTTCAATTTGCAGAAGAAGAATAGTTTCTAAAACTTAAAATCGCAACGCGAAAATGAAAATCGCAACGCGATTTCGCGTTGCGATTTTCATTTTCGCGTTGCAAATTTAAGTTTCAAATAGTCTTCTGCAAATTGAAACTTGAATGAATTGCATCACTTCAACCAAAAGACAAAACAAAGACAAATACTAACTTTACAGGGTTAAAAACTAAACAGTTTAGCAGTATTGGCAGCAACCGAATGAATTTACTAAGCAATCTAAGTGAAATGATTAATCTATTATTGAAATTACCAGTAAATTTATCATCAATTTAAATATGAAAAATCTAATAATAATACAAAATTTTTAAAATAAAAATAATTAAAAAACTAACCCTCGGTGGTTGATTTTCCATTTCTGACCGTGAATGATTGTGAGGGTGGCTCTGAGAGATGGAGATAGTCGGATTTTGTCGGAGTTGGGGACGGATTTCGCCGGATATGGGGACGGATGTCGTCGTAGAGAGTGAGAGACGGAGATGGGATTGAGTTATGATTTAGGGTTTTAGGTTATGATTTGCGATTATATTGTTTACATTTGTGTTGCGAAATTAATGTGTTTCGAATTCGAAAATAAAATTCACGTTGCGAAAATAAACGTGCTTTGCGAATTTGACTTATGTGTTGCGAATTTGACTTCTGTGTTGCGAATTACATATTCGCGTTGCGAATTTGGAAACTGAGTTGCGAAATTGGAGTTCGCGTTACGAATTTGTTGGTCATTTTCGCAAATTCAAAAAAAAAATGATTAAAATCGTATATTATAAGGCATTTTCAGTCACTGAAGTTGTTTTCTCTTTTCATTTTTCTTCATCCATTATAACTCTAACATATACCCTTACATTGTTTCCCTACCCAACTCTAATCCTCGCAAAAACCAGAAACCTTTTTTTTTGTGGTTATCCAACATCATGTACGGACACCCTTTTAAACTTTAACCTAAAAGAGGTGTTTGTGTGTGTTTTTAATAATTTCCTCCATTCTTAATTCAGCCTAATGTTCATGAGCAGAAACTAAACCAAAAAGACAGGCTTTGTTGCATAAAATATTGGACAAGGCTGCGTGCATGCCCTGCTGTGAGCCATGGCAACAACATTGCATGTGCTCACCCGTGGGAATAAAAATTCATCAGATGATACTATAAGTTAGGATTTATATGTATAATTATACAGTTATATAGAGACATAATTTGAAGAAGGTATAGTCTCATGTTGGTACATATTTAACAATATGGAGCGATTATAATTTAATATTTGTTCGGAATCTTTTTTATCATCAACAATGTACACACACCTTGCAACGTAGTTGCTCGAACTCGAAACTTCTAAAGAGAATAACACTCCCTTTAATTAATGAAAATACTATGAAATGAAAAAGATTAAATTCTTACATAGTTGAAACTATCTTCCATGTCGAAGATGCTAAACAGATAATGCTGTTTACGTGAGTCCCACATTTAACAAATGATTGATTTTTTTTCAATATAAATTTTTGTTTAGTTTTATTAAAAAGAGAAAATTAGGTAGATATGCCATACTTAAAAAAGAAAAAACCTGGCATACATCTTAAAGGACCTGAAGCAAATTAATTTGGCCGACTAAAATTAAGACTAAGTATACACACGTCGACTATATCCATATTCTTAGTTGTTTCTTTTAAGATTTTCTGTAGAAAGAAAAGAGGAAAAAGAAGAAACCGCCCAAGTCAAAGATAAACCACACCATAAATAGAGTATCACTGCCCTTGAGAATATTCACATTCGACCTCATCACGTCCTCTCAACTCTACCTCGTTATCATACTAGTATTAATTAAAACTATAACAAAATAATATTTCATGATATTTTCACTTTATTTTTATTAAAATATAATATCAAAATGTTTAGGATTCTCTCTCCATCTATAAATACCATACGATCTAAAATCATCATGTATTCGTCACTATCAAGCTAAAGCCAAGGCCAAAGTCCCAAATTCAAAAACTTCCGTCCACTAATTTTGCAAGCTGGTGAAAATGCATTGCCAGACGAAAGGTTCATGGGGATCTTACATGCCGACCACTGCTGTGGTTATCGGGGATCCATTGGAGAGGATAGAGAGGTTGGCTTCAGAGAATGCGGTGGTTATCTTCAGTATAAGCAGCTGCTGCATGTGCCACGCCATTAAGAGGCTCTTTTGTGGCATGGGAGTTAACCCAACCGTGATTGAACTCGATCAAGACCCTAGGGGGAGTGACATGGAGAAGGCTTTGATCAGGCTGCTGGGTGCCTCACCTGCTGTTCCTGTTGTTTTCATTGGTGGGAAGCTTGTGGGTGCAATGGATAGGGTCATGGCTTCTCACATCAATGGAACTCTTGTTCCTCTACTCAAACAAGCTGGAGCTCTGTGGCTCTGATTTTTCTTTAGCTTCTTCCATCATTACGGTTTTAAAGATTAAAATAAAAAAGACTGGTACAGAAAAGTGTAGCAGAGGAAGAGGAGTAGTGGTATTGGAGTGATCTCCTTCATTTTGGATACAGCAATGACTGATGTCTTTCTAGATTTTCCTTTTTCTTTCTTGTCGATGTGGGTCTTTGGTGGTTCGTTCTCCGTTTTTCACTAATCTTGATTTCAAGAATGAAATGTAATGGCTCCCTCCTCTGAAGAAACTACATATATAGTGATTTCCAGACTTTTTGTCACTTAAATGTTCATTTTCGTTTCGTTTATGTTGCTCTTTACTACTGTTTTCCTTTATATATAATGTATGGAAATGGTATGTTTAAGGGTTTAGAAGATTAATGGCGGACGATCGACCTGCAACCTTGTTTCCCTTTGAGCTCACTCACCCACGAAAAGAATCCAAGTAAAGTAGCTAATTTTATTCATAGCCATATGGAGCAGGACTTTTAGGACAGAGATTTGAACAGAGCAACGTAAGCGGGGGGGGGGGGGGGGCTTTGCAACCTTAAAAAGAGTGAAAGAAAGACACGATCGAGTTCAAAACCCTGCCTAAATACCACCAAGTTCGGACGGCTTCTTCTGTGCAGTCTCATGCAACCCTATTTCTCCATCATCCTCCAGACCATGGTTCATCGGTCATGATCGGATATATTTTAAGTGAAATCCTACCGGTTTGTCTCTATTTTCTCAGCGTTGGGAATATGATGGTGTATGTGTCCTTGTGTGGATGTGGAGACGAGAGAGAGACTCTGTTTGATTGAATTGAGTTAAAAATTTAAATTAATTGAGTTGATGAATTTTTTTATAATTCAAATTTTGTTTAATTTATTTTTCAATGAAATCGAGTTATTTGAATTTATGTTTAAATTTAATTTTTAACTCAAATTTTATTTAATTTATTTTTCAATGAAATCGAGTTATTTGAATTTATGTTTAAATTTATTTTTTAACTCAAATTTTATTTAATTTATTTTTCAATCAAGTCGAGTTGTTCGAATATATATTTGAATTTAATTGTAAATATAATGCTACGGTACTAATTAGCTCTAATTTAAACAAATTTGTATAACCATATATGATATACACATATATTTGTTAATATTTTTTATATATGATATACATATATCATGTAGAGTTGATTTACTCAATTCGAATTTGAAAATCAATTCACTAATCACTAAAAAATTCAAGTTATTTGAGTCATATTTTATAACTCAAACTTTATTTAAAAAATTTTAGAGTTGAATTCATAAAATTATGAGTTGAATCAATTTTTCTAACATTAAGTCGAATTAAAATTTTTAATTTTTTTAGGATAAACTACTCAGTTGACCACTTAACTATTTAACCCTTTTACTTTTGCCATCAATTTTTCAATTTTGCCAATCACACCACATAACTATTTAATTATTTCAATCAAGCCACTAGTCGTTAACGTTGACGGAAATGATGACGTGGCAATTAAAAGCCACTACTCAGTTGATCACTTAACTAGTTAATTGTTTCAATCAAGCCACATAACTATAATTGTGCAAATTCCTTTTAACTACCACGTCATCATTTCCGTCAACTGTTAACAACTAGTGACTTGATTGAAAAAAATTAAATGGTTATGTGATCAAGTGAGTAGTTTGTTTGTTTATTTATTTATTTAAGTAGAATCAACCTAAAGCCTATGGGGTTGGAAGTTGACCAAATGGGGGATGGTGGTGCATCTGCCACCTTTTTTTTTTTATCACCATGGGGCTACCTCTGTTGTAAAGAATTGTTCTCTCTATTATTATTCCCAATAAATATGTGTATGCAATGCATGATGTAGGGATAAGGTAAGGATGTATACTTTTGATTCTCATGTTTCTTAACGTTATACGTTGACATAGAACATTACACAAGTATCGCCCTGACTAGTGTCACCTGTACAACCAAAAACAAAGTCTAGAAGTGTCTTTCTGAAAAATCCATAGACCCTGGCCTTCAGATTTTATCCTACTCTTTATTTCTATATGATATTACCCTTCATTTGCCTACGAAGGTGAGGAAGGATCATTTAGATTTATTCATACGATATGATAAATTATAAATTATTTTTAATAAAAAAATAGTAATGAAACAAGATAAGTGTTGTTAAATCCATTCATCCCCTTATCGTTTTCTATTCAGTTTTGTTAATTATTTTTTAATCTTTTTTACAATAAGTAAATAAATAACATTAATTTTAAAAAATAAATATAAAATACATTTCTGTAATTGTATAAACATAAAATATAAATCATAAAAGAATTTAGGATTGTTGTTTAACACTCTTTTTATACTCTATCCTTTTAATAGTTATATACATGAGGTAAGATATTGTTATTTAATCTAATTTAACCGTAAAGTGAGACAAAAAAAATTTACTTTAATCACTCTATAAAAAAAATACTCCAACCCGTCCTATTCACATTCACATTTTTATTTTATTTATTTATTTTTTAGAAATCATGCTCTATTAGTGAATCCCAACAAATTCCATCAAGTAGTCTACCCTAATTCTAACCTTAAATCTAAAAAAACTAAAAAAACGCACACCAGGAAGTCATTAGTCATCCCAGTAGGCTTTGACCCACAATATAACGAGTGTTAAACATATTTTAAAATAGGTAATTGATCTAACGAGCTTGATTCAAGTGATAAACATCTTGATATCTCTTAAGCGAAGGTTCTAGGTTTGAGTATTTATATATGTAAAAAATCTTCGCTAGGATATTCACCCCATCAAACTCATTTGTTCAATATGGGTCGGTACATATTAGTAAAGATGAAGCCTTGGGACCCGGACAACAAAAAAAAAAGGTTAACAATTGAGTAATTAAATAATCTATTTGTAATTATTTTAAAATTAAATAATTTATTTATTATTTTACTAATAATTGAGTGACGTGTGATGTATTTTAACCTAATTTATATATGTATAGAAGTCGGCCTTAATTTCAGGACTCAAAATGTTTGAAAGATATTAAAAACGAAAGGCCACGCGCAGTTTGTCCTTTCACTGTATTGCCGTCTTAAACTTTGGTCAAAAGACTGAAAAGGCAGCCAATCCCGTACCTCCACCTTTTCTTGTGCCTTTTCCTATCAACCATTATAAATCTTCCACGTAGTAATTTTCCCAAGCATAATTGTTGGACTTATTGGGAGTACAAAAAGATTGAAACAGAAGACCATAACTTGGATTTTTCTTACATAAATCTCTTTTTCAGTTTTTTGGTTTCTCTTTTACCGTCAAAGCTATTTTCATAAATAAAAAAGGAAAAAAGAATTGAAATATAGCTGATAAAAGTACTGACAAAATGGGGTCTAATCTGAGGATTTAACCGAAGCTTGGTGTCTGTAAAGTCTGGTTCATAGTTATAATATAAAACCCTCGAGAAAAAAATAGAGCTCGAAACGATTCTTTTCGTCCATTATTTTAAAGGTAATTTTTCATTAAATCTTCTTGTGATTTTAATTATTGTTTTAGATTTTTTTTTATTGATTTCCAGTCTCTTTTTTTATATATATAATTAAAGAAGAAGAAGTTGAGGTGGAGTTTTGGAATCTGGGTATGTTCTTTCATTTTCCAATTAACCCAAATTGGGTGTTATGTTTTTTTTACCTTCTGTTCAATTTTCTTGCATTTTCTTTGCAACTAAAAGAAAGGGTTTTTTTAATTGTTTCGATTTTTCTGTAGGAAGTGAAAATATTGCATTTTAGTGGTGAATTTATAGTGATTATTAATTTTATTTTCTGTTCAAAGTAAAGATTTTTACTTGTTTGAATTTAGTGGAGGAAATTTGAAGATTCAAATGCCGGAGGAGGACTTGCTAGAACTTAAATTCCGATTGTATGATGGATCGGATATCGGTCCATTCCGATATTCGCCTGCTTCAACCGTTGCTATGCTCAAGGAAAGAATCGTTGCTGAGTGGCCCAAAGGTCAGTGCTTCAATTTTCTCTATAAAAGTTGTTTTTTCCACCATTGAATTTACTTCTAATGCCAAATTGCATTGTAGTTTTCGAACTAAATCTAAATTTAAGCTTGTTCAAAGGAGGCATAATTCTAATAATTTAAGGGTTCTTTGCTTTAATGTTGGCTCTAGGGATATGCATAACTGTATTGTTCTTTTATAGTTATGGCTTAATTGAATAATTTTCTCCATGGCTTGTGTTTAGATTCCTTGTTTCAAGTTATTTTGAATGTGGCATTTAAGTTGGATTGTTTAGAAGGGCTGTAGCTGCATTTATTAGCTGGTTGTTTCACCTTAACAATGTTCACTTTTTGGGAAATAATAGTTGAACCTGTTTGTATAACTTAATCCAACAGTTGTTTTTCGTACATTGATTGATGGCATCACTAGCTGTTGGGACACATTAGTTCTGATAATAAATGGTAATTGATTTGTACAAATCTACAAGTTCTCTAACATTTTGACAAAGGTGGCGACGGGTATGGTGTTATCGTTGGAGACTTCTTAAGTGGATTCTTACTCTCTTACATGATTAATTTTAGTTTGGGGGAAGCTGATAATTGATGAAGATATTCAAGGTTTTTCTCTGCCATGGTTTTTGGTCCCTTGTTTTAGACTACTACTCTAGTACTCTTCCATCCTTTTGTTGCATACCGATTAACGCATACCAATTACCATTAATGACCGGTCGTCCGGTTTATGTTCATTTACATGTGGACTGTATATCGAGATCAAACAAGTGGTTTGACATATGTATTTTCTGTCCGTATAATCTTTGATTTCAATGCAAGGATAAGCTGATCTTTTGTTCCATTTTGTAATACTTGCCAAACTAACTCTGCAAGGCATAAAACTTTGTTCTCTCATCCTTTCGGTAGTAGAGTGCCTTGTTTGATTGTCCTCCTTTTTTGCAGTCAAATTTCTTGGGTTGAAATTACTTAGTAGTTAGTAGTTACTACTGCATTGGACAGTCTGCTCTCATTGCTGATTTTGTGTGTTTTATTTGTTTCTTATCCCATCTTCTTGTTCTGCTCTGTTGTGTTGAGTGATTTTTATACCATCAGGATTTGCAATGGCTGTCTTGACAGTACTGTTTGAGTTTACTTTTATGCAACCGACTTTAGAATCGAAAATTACATTTCTGAACCTTCATTATGGTAGGATGCGTGTACGAAAGATCTTTGTCTTCGTGCTTTATAATGTTGGATCTAAATTGTTTTGGTACGTGTTAGACAAAAAGATTGCACCTAAGGGAGCCAATGACATCAAGCTGATAAATGCCGGGAATATTTTAGAGAACAACAAGACTGTTGGCCAGTGTAAAGCACCTTTCGATGATCTCCCTAAAGCAGTCATCACAATGCATGTTGTTGTGCAGCCCTCTGTAACAAAAGCTAAAACAGGTACTTCGATCTTGTCATAACTTTTCCCGCTGCAGGCAGTTCTCTTTTACGCTTTTTTTCTTATACATGATGGATGTTAGAATGTAGTTAATTTTTGCATATAGGAGAAAAGAAGGTGGATGAGATGCCGCGGAAAAACTTCTGTTCGTGTTCCATATTGTAAAAAGGAAATCATTCTTGATTCAAGAATCACGCTGCTGAAATGGCCTCAAGGGTTCCTGAGCTGTGTCTGGCCCGTTGGAATCGCAAAGTAATAAGTACAATAGTGACATCCTTCGTTCTTACGTGGTATGTTTGAGGGCATTTTCAAATTCAGTGGTTATGTATTCGAGTCTTAATAGAAACGAGTGTTTCTTGCGTTCGATAGTTGCCTTTTGTTTTTATTTGTTCACTTGATTGGTTTCATCTATAATGGAAAGCTTATGGATTCGTCTGCATATACACATTAGGTTACAAGTTATAGCTTTAGCATGAACCAAAATGATACAATGGGAAGTGTCTCTCAAAAACCTTTGATTGTTCCATGTTCTGTTGTTTTTGTTGCGGAAGACGGCTATCGGATAGAGCAAAATCGCAACTGATAATTTGAGAAAATAAAAATGAAGATAAAAGAGAGACAAAATTTACATGGAAAACCCCTGAATAATATAGGGTAAAAACCACGGGCAACAATAGAAGAATTTTACTATGAGAAAATAGGAATTACAACCTCTCTCGATCTACCAAGGAGAAAACAATGATAATTCTCTCTTGATAAAAAGGAGAAAACAACACTCAAGAACTTCTCTAAATTCTCTCTAGTATTGGAAGAAAGCTAAAATGCTTTGGGATGATTTTGAAGCTAAATGAGCTAGGGTATTTATAGTTGAAACTTAAGGATTAATTTGTAAATACCCTAAAGTTTAATGACTAAATTATGATTTAGCCATTGTCCAAAAATCAACAAAAACAACTCATTTTTTCGGTGCATTTATTATATGCACCTTTCGGTGCTTAGTCAACAATCTCCCACTTGAAGATTTGATTGGAACAATCATATCTTCACACCATTCTTTCTATCTTGTACCATCATGTTGCTTACGTCTCTGACAGGCCACAAGAGGATCGACACTAAGTAAATTTATCAGCGTTGATCGCCTTCGTCATGAAATCTGCTATGTTGTCTTTGGTATGGATCTTCTGTATATCTACCGTCCCTTCTTCCACATTTTCACGAATGAAATGATATTGAACTCGTATGTGCTTTGTCCTTGAATGAAATACTGGATTCCTTGCTAGATGCAAAGCGCTTTGACTGTCACAAAACAGAGAGACATACTCTTGATTGTGCCCAAGCTCCTCCAATAGCATCTTCAACCAAATTGTTTCTTTACTGGCTTGTGTAGCTGCTACATATTCTGCTTTTGTTGTGGATGTAGCCACAACTGACTACAATTTTGAAACCCAGCTTACAGCTCCACCAGCAACTTTGAACACATATCTTGTAGTAGATTTGCTTTTATCCAAATCCCCTGCATAGTCAGAATCTACATACCCATTGATTAGTAAGTTTGATCCTCCATAACATAATGCAATATTTGAGGCCCCTTTGATGTATCTTAGGATCCTCTTTACTGTATTCCAATGCTCTTTGCCTGGATTTGCCATGTATCGACTAACCACTCCCACTCTTTGTGCAATGTCTGGTCTTGTGCATATCATAGCGAACATTAAACTTCCCACTGCTGATGCATACGGTACTCGAGACATCTCCATCCTCTCTTCTTCACTGCTAGGACTCATACTGGAGGATAATTTGAAGTTAATAGGAAGAGGGGTAGAAATTGGCTTACAATCTTGCATACTAAATCGTTACAAGATTTTCTTCAAGTAATTTTTTTGTGAAAGCCAAATCTTCCTATTACTTCTGTCTCGATGAATTTGCATCCCTAGAATCTTGTTTGCTGATCCCAAGTCCTTCATTTCAAATTCCCTAGCCAGTTGTGCCTTCAATTCTTCAATATGATCTTTGTTGGGTCCTGCAACCAACATGTCATCCACATACAACAGCAATATAACAAAATCGTTATCACCAGACCTCTTGAAATAAGCACAAGGGTCTGCATTAAGTCTGTTGTATCCAAGGCACATAATGAAGGAATCAAATCTCTTATACCAACACCTCGGCGCCTGCTTTAGACCGTACAGAGATTTATTCAACCTGCAAACCAAGTTCTTCTTTTCGTCTTCTTCAAAACCTTCAGGTTGGAGCATATAAATCTCTTCTTCAAGATTTACATGAAGAAAAGCTGTTTTAACATCTAGCTGCTCTAGATGTAAGTCCAATGTAGCACACATTGCCAAAACTACTCGAACTGTTGTTAGTCGAACCACAAGAGAAAATATTTCATTGAAATCAATACCTTCTTTTTGAGCATATCCTTTGACCACCAGTCTTGCACGATACCTCTCAACTTGATCGTCACCATTTCGCTTGATTTTGAAGACCCATTTGTTATCAATTGGCTTCCTTCCTTGTGGTAGTGGCACAATGTCTCGTGTATTATTTTTATGAAGGGCTTCGATTTCTTCTTGCATCGCCATCATCCACAGTGAAACATCTGAGCTGTTTATTGTCTCCTGGTATGTTGATGGCTCACCGTCCTCTGTTAAAAGGCAGTATGCAATATTACCTTCTATAACATAATCTGAGTGCCAATTGGGACGTCTTCTCACACGATCTGATTGACGAGTTGTTGGAGCTTCAGAACTCTCTGGTTCTTGTTCATCATGTGCTGGTTCTGCTTCAGAAGAATCTTCTTCTTCAAACTCTTTTTCCACATGTATCTGAGTAGTCTATGACTTTTCAGCGTTATCATTGTCTTCTTTTCTTTGAAGCTTATCTTCTACAAAGATAACATCCTTGCTAATGATCACTTTGAGGGCATTGGGATCCCATAAGCGATACCCCTTTACTCCATCAGCATACCCCAAGAATTTGCATTTTCTGGATTTTGGATCCAACTTTGAAATTTCTTGGGCGTTGTACATCACGTACACAATACTTCCAAATACATACATGGAGGTTTGAATAATCAACTGGTTTACCAGTCCACATCTCCATTGGTGTCTTCAGCTCTATTACAGTTGATGGAGCTCGATTCACCAAATAACAGGCGGTATTGACTGCTTCTGCCCAGAATGATTTTTCTAGGCCTGCATCCCTCAACATTGCTCTTGTTCTTTCTAACAAGGTTCTATTCATCCGCTCTGCCACTCCATTTTGTTGAGGAGTGTTCACCACTGTGAACTGTCTTTTGATGCCTTCTTTCCTGCAAAAGTCGTCAAATTCTTCGCTTGTGTATTCTCCTCCATTATCTGTTCTGAAACACTTGATTTTATTTACAGAATCAAGTTCCACCCGCGCTTTGAAGTTTTTGAAAGTTGAAAACACGTCTGACTTCTTCTTAATAGGGTGCACCTAACATCTCTTGGAGTAGTCATCAATAAATGAGACAAAGTATTTTGCTCCACCTAGGGACGTTACTGGTGCTTGCCATACGTCAGAGTGAACCAATTCTAGAACACTTTTGCCTCTAGAATTTGATGTGTGTGAATTTCAACCGGTGCTGCTTACTTGTTATGCAATGCTCACACAAAGGAAGTGATACCTTTGTTAAGCCTGGAAGTAGCTTTTGCTCCACAAGGACTTTCATTCCTTGTTCTGACATGTGTCCAAGTTTCTGATGCCATAGCATTGCCGAATCTGAACTACATGAGGCAACAGAGGCTTCTGCTTCTACCAAAGTCTCTCCCTTCAACATGTACAAGTTTGCAGTTATTTTTTCGCCTTTCAGCACCACAAGCGCTCCACGGAACACCTTCATGATTTTTTTCCGTGTTTCAATCTTGCTTGCATTATTATCCAACAATTCGTAGGATAATAAATTTTTCTTTAGGCCTTTCACGTGCCGCACATCTCGAACAACTTTAATTGTTCCGTCATACATCTTCAATTTGATGGTTCCCACGCCAACGATCTCTAAGGCATGATCATTGCAACTATAAACAGATCCTCCTGAGACAGGTTTATAATGATGAAACTATTCTCTTCTTGAGGTCATGTGATATGTTGCTCCCGAATCAATGAGTCATATATCTGCAAATCGTTTTCTTCCTTCCAAGGTGGTTGACGCTTCACAGCATAGATCATCTCCATCATCTGAAGTGTTTGTTGTATTACCTTGTGGATTGGAGTTTTTATTTAGACTCCAATAATCCTTCTTCAAATGACCCTTCTTTCCACAGTGGTAGCACTTTAAATTCTTCTTACTCCTCGACTTCGATCTACCATGTTTATGACTGCTGCTTTGGCCACGTTCTGTTGATCTCCCTCTCATCGTTGTCAACGCTTCTGCTTGTTGCAGATTTACTTGTCTGTCTTCCTTGTTCTTGCGCCGATTTTCTTCTTGTAGAACAGCAGCTGCAACATCATCGAAGACTAGACTGGTGACATTACTGTTTGTCAAGTTGATGATGAGTTGATTATACGAATCATGTAGACTTTGAAGTAGAAGTTCAGCACGTTCTTGTTCTCCTATTTTACAACTTAAGGATGTAAGCTGAGAAAATAAAGTATTCAGTGTATTTAAGTGCTCTGTCACTGAAGTAGATTCTGGCATACGGAGAGTGTACAATTTTCTCTTAAGGAAAATTTTATTGTGCAACGATGTGGCCTCGTACAGTTTGGTGAGATGATCCCATATCTCCTTAGCTGTCTTCTTCTCCTCGATACTTGACAATACTTCATCTACTAATGCTAGATGAAAGTTTGACATAGTATTTTCGTCCATTTCGATCCATTTGTTGGCATCTGTGAAATCCACTGGCCTTTCACTGATAGTTGCTAGACAACCGTCTTTCCTCAGGATGGCCTTCATCTTCAATTTTCACAATGAGAAATTTCTCCCATTGAATTTTTCAATATCAAATTTCGTTGCCATAGCTTCTATTATTGATAGCTCTCACTATTTCACTATCGTGAATAGTTCTCTGGAACCTTCAAAGAATGGGTAATAACTTCTTACTTTATTATGTTAGAGGATCCACCTTTTGGTGGCAACCACAAAGACAATAAGCAGATATTACACACTCTAACCTGGCTCTGATACCAATTGTTGCGGAAGACGGCTATCGAATAGAGCAAAATCGCAACTGACAATTTGAGAAAATAAAAATGAAGATAAAAGAGACAAAATTTACGTGGAAAACCCCTGAATAATATAGGGTAAAAACCACGGGCAACGGTAGAAGAATTTCACTATGAGAAAATAGGAATTACAATC